TGGGCTGTAGCCCCGCGGAGTGGAACGAGTTACTGATCCACTTCAGAGGCCACCTGCCAAGCGGAGCAGCAGTTTGCGGAGTTGGTAGAATATATTCGACGGTACGGACACGTTCTGGAGAAGGGACCGATGTCGGTGAATCGAAGCAGCAAGGGCAAGGGCCACAGCCAGTTCTTCTTCCCGACGTTCAACTTCGGCGGTGGCGATGGACATCAAGATGATTCAGCAGACGGCTACACTGGCGGAGGCATGGCAGCATCGTGGGCCCCCTCGGCTCCCTGGGCGCCTACTGCTGCAGCACCGCCGGCGCCAGATCCGTGGCAGGCCTACTATGGCAACGAGTACGATGATAACGACACGGACACCGACGACGACGACGGAGAGGACTTGGACGGCTCGGATTTCCCGGGACAGATCGGCCAAGACGACGCGGTCATCCAACAGTACCTCTACCAGAACTACGTCTTTCACAAGAAGCGCTGGCGACGGTTTACAGGCAGACCTACGAGATTCCACAGGTTTGGAAAGGGCAAAGGTGGCAAGGGATCTCTGATCCCGTTTCGTGGAGGTGGAACCTTTGGTCAACGCGGACAAGGCAAAGGCTACCACTTCGAAGGAAAAGGGCGACGAAATCCTACCGGACGTGACGGCAAGGTCATGAAGTGCCTCACGAAGGGTTGCGAGAGCGAATTTCACCTGATTAAAGACTGCCCCCACCGACAAGGTAAAGGGCAAGGAAAAGGCAATTTCGTCACGAATGGACCTCGACCGGTATCAGCAGCCTCGGCAGCGGTGCCACGGTTCGGATTCAACAACACGTCAGCTACAGCGACAGCAGCGACGACAAGCAGCTCGGCCTACGGTTCTGGATCGGTGAGCTTCTTTGCCACAGAGACACCCAAGAACGACAATGAGCAGAGGGCGAGCGCGAGTGTGGAGGGCTCGCACGGTTTCACTGGCGTGGTGATATCGCCAGCGCAGCCAAAGGCCATCGAGGACAAGGCCCCTGAGTGGTTTGGACCGAGACCGATGGCGGAAAGCATGGAGCCCCCAACTACAGGGTCGGCATTGTCCTCGGGCGAAGGACCCTACTTCCCGATGCTGCCGACCATGGGAACCACCAAGTTCGGGGAGATCACGGACGTGCCATCGGGACCCACGTTTGGAATCGGACATATCTTGGGACTTTCATCGATAGTGGCCCCGAAGGACGAGGACGGAGATAGAGTAACGGAGCCACATACCGCTGGAGTTCCTCTCCCGAAGACAACGATAGGAACGCCAGCGAAGACACCGCCGATGGTATCGGAGATATTCGGCATCAAGAAGGCAGACGAGAAGCAGGATCCCTCCTCGATCAACGTAGGCGGCTTGATTTTCAGCCCCGTTCCAGCGAAGATGGTGACCCCCCCGAGCGCGAGCAGCGGAGTTCAGGACTCGGCGGCGAGCTGGGACAAGGTGTCGAGCGTGCCCGAGCAGCAGGTGGATCTGTCATCCTTCGACCTCGACTCCGAGAGCTACTTTCAGCCCGGACATCCTCATGAACGTGAACGCCCAAAACTACTGAGAGGAGCGGGCGAGGTCGCCATTCCAGATGATGACGAACACACCGAGCATGACGGGCAACACGAAGAAGTTAGAGAGGACAACGACGGCCAGCAGATCCCGCCGGACAATCACACAGGTGGAGTGGATTTCAGCGATGATCGTGGAGACTTCACTGGAGTTGTCTGGACCTTGGGGGGAAACCGTGAGGAGACCTACCTGGGACACGAGCGCACCCGGCTTGATGGCGGCGAGATGGGCATCCTCGTGGACCCGGGAGCGCACGGCAACCTCGTCGGAGAACGCTAGGCACGACAACAAGCGGAGAAAGCCAAGCAGTACCAGCACGACACGGAGAAGACTGAATTGCGAGAACCCCTGGAAATTAATGGAGTTGGAAAAGGACCCGACTACTGCCACCAGCAGTGGAAGATCCCCATCGGTACGCAGGAGATCTACCAGGAGGGCGATGGTAGCGGCAACCTGGACACGTACACGGCACCCATCATTCCTGGAAGAGATGTTCCTGCGTTGTTGGGCAACAGTTCTCTAAAGAAACTCGATGCGATCCTGGAGTGCGGCCCTGGTATACTACATCTATGCGGACCCGGACGCAGAGAGCTCGTCCTTCCAGCAGGGACTCGCAGCTACAACCTGAAGGAAAGCAGAAGCGGACATTGGCTACTACCCTGTTCACGATTCAGAGAGGCATCGACCTCCAGCGGCAATACAGGATACCCTATTGATCGACTGCAACCTCACCCCGAGCGTTTGGACTTCATGTGGGAGGATTTCCGGGGAGAGATGAGCCGCCTGGGCTTGACACTCAATGAGATGTCACAGCTGTACGCCGAGTGCAAGCGGCACGTGCAGAATAAGAGTTGGAATGGATTTCAACATTCGCTGAAGGTGCATGGCATCTACAAGGAGTGCATTCCGAGCAAGAAGTGGGCCAGCATCAAGGAGATCTTCGGTGACAAGAAGGAGAAGGAGGTGCGTTTCGAGGTGCTGCCGGATCTGGCAGACTCCTCGGGCCTGTGAAGGGGCAGGGCTCCGGCCGCGGCGGCCGGAGCAGCTGCCGAACGCCGTTCGGCGACGCCGCATCATCATTTTCATGCTCAAGTTCTTGGCCACCGTTTGGGACTGGCAACTACGATGCGCGCGGCACGAGAAGGAGGATGGCCCGTGACACAGGTGATGGCCTACGACCAGGTGATAGGCAAGGAAGCGCGAGATCTGAAACGACACCTCACCGAAGGACGCTTCCGGCTACTGCGGGCAGATCTACCGGGACGTCGAGGAGCTGAGCGAGGACAGCGACCCCAACAGCGCCTACGACTTCTTGAAGACTGCGTACGAGCACAGTTGGCTGGGGGCGGAGACGCCATGCTAGTTGCTGAGCGTGGGAGCTCTATGTGGGCGGACCCGACGATCCTGAAGCTTAGACGAGAGGTCCCCCACGTGGTGGAAGTACATTGGTGTTCTTTCGATGTGCAGTCTCTACCGGACGAGGCAGGAGAACGAGGATGGAGTGATCGAGTAGACCGAATACAGTCCACCTTTACAATTCGAGCCCAACCATGTCAATGCCAAGGAAAAGGACGTCGGCACAAGAGTGATTGGAGGAGCTCGTCCGGGAACGACGAACGCCGACAACAGCGAGACGAACAACACGCACAATACTTGGTGGCGATGTTTCGGGAGATCAACGACGCCCTCTTGTTAGAGGGTAACCGTTCACCACCAGAGTCGAGAACTATGGAAGCGCCTACGGGCGAGAACACGGCAGGCAATGACGAGAACTCCTACCCGACGGAGGCGAGGATGCGCGCGAAGATGAAGTCGCTGACCGACAAACCGAAGGAGGTCAAGAAGCAGAAGTTTGAGATTGAGAACCATTTCGACGACTGCGGAGACAGCATAAAAGGTCTGGCCATGGACGACTCCCTCTTCGCCATCTACGAGGACACGGACATCTACTCGGATGACGACGACGACATTATCCTGTTCGTGGAGGAGTTCTACGACGGCAACAGTTATGCATCATGCCTGCGGGGAGTTGCCGGAGATGATGGAACAACCTGGTACGAGGGACCAGGAGTCAGGAAAGCAGCAAATCTCTCTCACCTCACGGCTTACCTGGCGAAGGCGGCCTCCGGCATGGATGTGTTGGAGATTTGCGGAGGACGAGGCTACGTATCCAGGATTTGTGTGCGAAGAAAGTGCAGAGTGGGACCCAACTTCGACATCGTCTGCGGTGTGGACCTATCGGATCCCAATGAGCAGTGGACGTTGTGGCACTACTTGGAGCGTGGAGTGATGGTGGTTATCATGACACCTCCATGCACCCCCTACGGACGTTTCTCCAGCGTGAATATGATCAATGCGACGGATAGCTGGAGGGAGAGTCTCGAGCGATGCAGGCCACTGGCCTTGCTATGCGGAGAAGTGGCACTGTACCAGCTGCGGAGAGACCGAGCCTTCATCAATGAGAATCCAGCCGGATCCAAGTTATATCAAGAACCACCGTGGCAAGCAGTCGCTCAGTTTCCTGGAGTTGTGTACGCTATGGTGGATCAGTGTATGGCTGGTCTGCAGAGTGCTCGAGGCATACCACAACAGAAGAGGACGGAGCTATGGGCATCCCACGAGGCACTACTACGACACGTGGTTGGATTTCAATGCGACGGGAGTCACGTGCATGATACTATTGAAGGACGAGAAGCCACGTCGAGGGCCAGATTGTGGCCCTGGAGATTCGCGGTGGCTATCGCCAATGGCGTCACGGACTACCTGTCGGAGAAAAGAAACGCAGAAGTTAAGACGTACTTGCAGAACACTACGGCGTATCCCGGGGCAGCGGCAGCAGCACCACTCGAGGAACATGGACCCTGGGTTCCGCCCTGGGATCTGCCAGCCCCTCCAGATGCAGTGCCGGAAGGAGGGGGCCGAAGGGGAATATCCAGAAAGACAGAGGACGCCGGAGTACCAGCACCTGTACCTGAAGATACCCCAGCACCAGCACAGGACCACCGGCGGCAGCGATTCGGCCCCCAGATCCGAGGACGCAGCTACGACGAGTGCGAGAATGGGAATGCCGAGCGTGCAACGGAGCACATGTTCCACGCTCTCGGGTGCCTGGAAAATGTCGGATTGCCACGCCGGGAGTACGAAAGTGGAGATGCAAGCAGTGCCAGCGAGGCAAACCCGAGGTTTGCACATGGACATACTCTCGTGGCAGGACAGTGTAGATGGGCAACTGAAGTGGGCCAAAGACCAGCTGGAGGGGGACGCCGACGAGCACGAGCAGCTGCCCACGACCCAGCGCCAGGAGCAGCTGAACCAAGACCAGACGGACCTGTGGACGCTGCCGATGTCCCAGACTCACCAGCACGACCTGAAGCAGATCAAAGTATGGAGGTGGACTGGTCGAGCTGGGATCTTGGATCCGCCCGGCGGGCGCTGTTCGGCAACAACGAGGCAGTGACACGGAGAGTGCTACGTCGACTGCACCTGAGGTGGTTCCACGCCAACAAGAAGGCCATGAAGCGTATGCTCTCAGCCGGAGGCGTGCCGCCTAAGGTCTTGCAGATGGTCGACGACATCGTGGACACCTGCAGAGTTTGCCGATTGTGGATGAAGAAGGGAACCAGGGCGACCACGACGATCAAGCTGAGTGTACAGTTCAACGACGAGGTGCAGTTGGACCTTCTATTCTATGAACGACGCGTTGTTGGACATCTCATCGACGGTTGTATCAGGTTCACCGTGGCGCGAGAACTTGCAGATAAGACGATCGAGACGCTCTTGGATTTCATATGGGTGAACTGGATACAGGTCTTCGGGCCTATGGCAGTACTGACCGTCGACGGCGAAGGAGCTATGGCATCCGAAGAGGCTGGAATGGCTCTCGGACGCATGGGAACCACGCGCAAACTGAAGGCTCCAGGACAACATGCGTAATTGGTCGAACGACATCACGATATACTACGCCGACAGATGCATGTCATAGACGCCCATCTCCGAGAGCTCGGCATCAAGTTGTCCTTCGCGCGAAGATTGGCCGAAGCAGTCCTCGCCAAGAACTCGTTCCTGACCATTGAAGAAGGCACGCCATACAAAGCACTTTACGGACGTGTGCCTCTCGTGCTCAGGGACTTCGATAGGAGTGGAGCTCAAGAGTTGGACGATGAAGATGGACTAGCGATGTTCAGGCACTCGCAGAGGCTTCGAGAGATCGCGACCATGTCTATCATCGAGGCCACGGCACAGGCGAGGACGGAGCGAGCTGCCAAGGCACGAACGGCCCCGGCGACGGAGGATTTGCATTTGGAGGTCGGAGACCTCGTGGACTTCCACAAGCCGGGGAAAGCGCCAAAGGATGTGCCGAGCTGGAAGGGACCAGCCAAAGTTGTCTCGGCACAAGCACCAGAGACGGGGACGATCACCATACACTGGCAAGGACGCGACATGATAGTCAACACTCCTGATGTTAGACGTGCAATACTGTATAGCTATTCCGTATCCTTCATGGCGGTTGAGAGCGACCCAGCGCTGATCCGATTGGATTTCGTACATAATATAAGAGAAGGTTTTGAGCATCTTGGCTGGGCGAGCACGTCATCGGGATGGGCTTTGACGAAGATATCTAAGAGCTATCCCATCGTGGTGGCTGCCATGCTTCAAGTCGCTTCTTGCGGGTTACATGTCAACGGAGCAGTGGCCGCCCGAGTTGGCAGAAAGGTACCGACGCTTCCTGGACTTCACGATTTCGAGCACTACACTTTGTGTTGGTGGACTGCGAGGCGTCTGGACAAAGGAGAGTCAGGAGTGGAGGCCATGTGTTATGGTGAAGGATCTGCAGCATAACATCTTAGCCTTCGATCTATCTTCGGCGAGAAGGAATGGGCTTCGTGCTATGTCATGCAGTTCCTGACTGTGGAGCCTGATGTTTTGGATGTTTTGCAAGGCCAGGCCCCGCAGATACCACACATGGGTGGACCTCACCTACCAAGAGTTGACGCATGGATGCGCGAACATCGAGAGATACGGAAAAGGGCCCGTTCGGAAGGATCGCAAGGCTCGGAGAACCCAGCAGAACATCTAGCAAGAAGGTTGGAAGACGAACCGCCAGATAGACCAGAGTCACCTCCCGGGCTGCCAACGCCAGCTGAACCCACTCAAGCAGCAGACGATGGCGTCAGCACACCAGCCAGCGGTAGCACGGTTCCAGCGGAGGCAGCGTCGTCATCAGAAGAGTTGTACAGCCTGGAGGCCTTCTGGGCAATACCGAAGGAGGACTCGGACTTGACGAGGGACGTGGACGAGAACGACTTCATGGACATGATCTGTTACCTCACGGAAGAGCCAGACATGTCCGTCCTCGAGCGGAACGAGATCATCCAGGACTACGACGTAATAGAGGCCTGGAACACGCAGAGTACCACACGCGCGAAGGCGACCGACGACATAGTGGAGCCACTACAACCGGAGAAGGTCTTCCATATAGGATTCGCAGCAAGAGCCTGGAAGATGCTAAACGAGCCGACCATCAACGGAGACCCTACGCACGTGGACGATGTGGCTGTGTTGAGTTTTTACGAGGATGGATCCGCCAAGGCCGTGATAGAGAGAGATGACAACCTGTTGACGCCTGCCGAGAAGATCGAACACCGAGAAGCAGTTCGAGCGGCACGACTTAAGGAGTTACGGCACTGGGCAGGATTCAAGGCCATGTCGAGGCGACCTCGTAAGCAAGCCAGGAACCTCATCGACGCGAAGTGGGTCGATAAATGGAAATGGGTACAAGCAGCAGACGGATATATGGCCAGGATCATACGATGCAGACTTACGGTACGTGGATTCAAAGACAGACACAAGGATGAGGTGAAGACGTTCACCGCGACCAGCACGAGATGGGGACAGAGAATGGTGAATATTCTTGCGGCGCAGCATCGTTGGAAGCTATGTAGTGCGGACATCTCGTCGGCTTTCCTGCAGGGAATGACTTTCGAGGAGGTCGCGAAGCTGCTCAACGAACCGATTAGAGATATTTGCTTTGAGCTGCCGAAGGGCACAGCCGAGCTACTATGTGAAGTGGAAGGCTTCGAGGGTTTCAACTCGATTTTGGAGGTCTTGCATATGGAGAAAGGAGGATTTGGTCTCAATGACGCCCCGAGGTTATTTGGACTTCGACGTGATCAAGTTTTGTTGTCGAGTGGGCTTAGACCGACACATGCAGACCCCCAGCTCTGGCTGAAGCACATCCAGGAGGTTTTGGTGATGGTTGTCTCTACACATCTAGACGATTTGAAGTATGCGGGGACCGACAAGGCGACCGGCGAAATGATTGCATCACTGGAGGCAGTTTTCGGCAAGATGACTATGAGTGAGAGCAATGTTGTACACTGTGGCCTGCGCCACAGACAGCTGGAGGATATGAACATTGAGGTTGACCATACTGAGTATATCAAGAATTTGAATTGTATCGACGAGAAAGAACTACAAGGCCGGGGAGACGACGAAGATCCACCAGAGAAGCACGTGAAGCTCTACCCATCTTTGCTTGGAGCTATCGCGTGGTGTATCATGACGAGGATCGACATATGTATCTACGTCGCAGCACTCCAACGACACGGTAAGGCACCGAAGGTTGGACATATTAGGAAGATGAACGTGCTGCTCAAGTATATGAAGGAGAATCCTCTGGTTTTGACGGCACAGAGCTTGACTCCCCCTGTGAAGCTGATGGCCGTTGGAGATGCGGCCTTTCGGAGAGAACCTGATGACAAGGGTTTGGCTATGCGTGGAGCTGTTTATTTATTGATCGAGACGAAGCAGGAGCTTGGAGGCAGATGCAATGTTTTGGAGTATTATTCACGGAAACAAGCTCATGTGGTGCGATCCACTTGGGGAGCAGAGTTATGTCAGCTATCAAATTGCTGTGATTATTTACTGCTGCTGGCCGGTTTCCTGACGGAGGTTCAGACTGGAGGACTGACGGCCAGGCAGTTGCGAGATATGGTTGATGGAAGTGAAGCCAGTATTAAGCCAGCAATTGACCTGGAGGCTTGCGTGGACGCCCGGAATGTGTTCAGCGGCATCACGGCGGAGCAGGTACGGATAGCAGCAGAGAGACACACGCTGTACCATGCCCAGTGGATTCGAGAACTTTTGGACAGAGGCATACTTAAGAGACTATGGTGGATCGACACAAGGGATTGTTGTGCAGATGGACTAACAAAAGGAGCTGTTCTACGAGACGCACTGAGGTACGTCGCACGAGGCGAGTGGAAGACGGTACATGAGGCATTACCGTGGACATCTTCTGGACGTGTGCTCCAGAGTGTCAGCTCGAGTTGAGCACGGTCGTGAAGACCGCGGTGTTCATGGTTTTTTGGACATCCAGATGGAGGACTGGACCGGTGTCAGGACGCTAAGTCGCCACGCGGGTCTGGGCCTCGTAAGGACGCATCGCCGGGCCCTCCCCAGTCATACCGACGCTTGGGAGGTCCGGCGAAGATATTGCTGATGCAGTCAGTCCTCGGGGTTCCGCCCATTGCTGGGCGAGCTCGAAATTATGTGCATGACGGACCAGTCCGTGAAGACTGATTGGTGCGTGGACTGGGCCGACCTTGTGGGGTTCATGGGCATGTACTCGTGGGAGGTCAGTTGCGAGCTGGAGATCAACGACCTGAACACGCTCACCACCAGAGTCGAGAACACGGCCCTGGACCCCCGCCCCGACGGCGACGGCACAGCGGCGTGACCGCTGCTGCGTTGGCTCAAGGCCACATGCAGGACGCGTGCGCGGGGTGCATGCGTGGGCCTGAGGGCCCTGGAGCATAGCGTGGTGCACCGAGGGCACTACGAGCGGGGAAAAGAGGCCCCGCGACTGAGGAGGAGGAGGAGGAGGAGGAGGAGGAGGAGGAGGAGGAGAGGAGAAAGAGGAGAAAGAGGAGGAGGAGGAGGCGGAGGAGGAGAAGCAGGAGGATGAGAACGAGGAAGAGGAGGAGGAGGAAGAGGAGGAGGAGGCTGAGGAGGAGGAAGAGAAGGAGAACGAGGAGGAGGAGGAGGAGGAGAAGGAGGAGGAGGAGGAGAAGGAGGAGGAGGAGGAGGAGCGCGGGACTGCTGAGAAGCCAGCGAAGGCGGGCAAACACTGTCATTAGCCATTATGTTTGTGAAAAGCGCGCTGCGACAGGCGCGCGCCAGAGACTGCTGGGCCGCCCTGCTCCTCGATGGAGTGCCGTCGTGGCGTCGTGGACACCTCGCCCAAACATCGTGTCGAACGAAAGGGAGGTGGTATAGAGGAAACAACAAAACAACAAAAACTTGCTGCGTCGGCGGCGAGGCAGGGCAAGTCTGCGCTAGCGGAAAGGCCTAAACGGGGGTGCCGTTATGGCGAATTGTCAAAGGCCAAAACATATACTTTCGGAAGTCCGCGCGGATTTCTTGGATCGGCGCTGGGCTCTCATGGCGGCGCGGGCCGCCGGTTGGCCCGGCCCACGCGCTCGCAGCAGCGCGCGCGCGCCGCCCAAGTCACCCGCACTCGGCGGCGAGCGAAGGGGGGAACTGAGAAGGAGAAGGCCTTCTGAAAGGTCTGCCGTGTCGTCGGGGAACGCTTCAAAAACTGATCTGAAGGCCGGGGGCTTCCGATCCTTCTGAAAAGGTCTTTTCCTTCTTCTTTCCCCCCCTCGCTCGCCGCCGACGCACCCCGGGAGCAGTCGGCTCAGGAGCCCCACCTCCAGACACTTGGCGCGGCCACCGCGGCGAGGCGCCGCCGAGGGGGCCAAGCGCCGATCCAAGAGATCCGAGTGGACCTCCGAGAAGTTGTGCTCGTTCCGTTGTTCCTTCCCCGATCGTACAAAGGGGGTGCTCATAGAAATCAGCTCGCGCGCGGCAGGCGCGTGTCGTGACGACCTGGTCTCTGACACCGCGCGGATCGTTCAGCCTTGAACGATCGGCGGCTTTTTGATCGCAAGCGCGCTCGATTCTGGCAGTTTTTTTAACGTTCGGCGGCTTTTCCATGTTGGCAGATTCTGGGCCACTGGTGTCAGGTTGGGCCTGTCCCCCCACAGGCGGATGTAAATTTTCGAAGATTCCTCCTGTACAGGGACAGGCCCGACTTGACACTGGTGACGTTCGACCTGGAGCGCCCGCCCCTGGGGTCGTGGCCACGTCGGCAGGACACGGATCAACCGTAGCTGGCTCCAGTGTCGCCCGGGCATCGCAGAACTGGCACCGCGGCAGGGCCGACGCTGGCTGCACGCGGCAGATGCCTCCTCCTCCTCCTCCTCCTCCTCCTCCTCCTCCTCCTCCTCCTCCTCCTCCCCCTCCTCTTGGGCCCAAAAAGGGCCCAAGATTGCCCAGGGGGCCCCCGGAAAGGCCCAAAAGGGCCCCAGGACGGGCCCGAGGCGCCTGAGAGGGCGCCGAGACGGCGGAATATGTGCCGAGGACGTCCCAAAAAAAACCCAGCAGGCCCCCAGAGGCCCCCAAAAGGCCTGAAGAGGCCCACAGGAGTCTTAAAACATGCATCCAAAACGCCTTCTACCGGCCTCCAAGCTGCCTCCAAGATTCCCCCCGGGAAGCCCAGAACCGGCCCCAATGCTTCCACGACGCTAGCGTCTGAAACCAAGCGCTGCAATCCAAGACGTTCTTCCACGATTTCGCATCTTTTCCCATCTTCGGTGTCCTTCACATCCATGATTTCACAAGGGCCCGCAGAGGACCGCGCCACGGACCCAGAGACCCCCAAAACACCACGGTTCCCAGCAGAGACCGGTGATGCAAAAGGCTCCACGAAGAACTGTGACGCAGACAGCTTTAACACAAAGCTTTTTTCAGAAAATGCACCAAATCGGCGAAGTGCCAACCCAAAAAAGCCAAAACCTGGCCCCAAAGGGGATTTCCAACAACCGCCGAACATCTTCAACAACCGCCGAAAATCTTTTCATCCTCGTCACGTTCCCCCTTCTCCCCCTCCCCCTCTTCCACTTCCCGTTTCGTCCTGCCCCTCCTCATCCTCAACATCCTGCTACTCCTGCCCCCCCCCACTTCCACGCCCCTCCACCACATCATGATCCTTCGCCTCCTCCTCCTCCTCCTCATCATCATCATCATCATCATCATCATCATCACCACCACCACCACCATCATCATCATCATCATCATCATCGTCGTCGTCGTCATCATCATCATCATCATCATCATCATCACCATCATCATCATCATAATCATCATCATCATCATCGTCGTCATCATCATCATCATCATCATCATCATCATCATCATCATCATCATCATCATCATCATCATCATCATCATCATCATCATCCTCATCATCATCATCATCATCATCATCATCATCATCATCATACTACTACTACTACTACTACTACTACTACTACTACTACTACTACTACTCTACTCCGTTGCCTCCACTCACAATCCTCATCATCCTCACCGCTCGCCGTCGTCGCTGATCATGACCGCCATCGTGCGCTTCCGGCAGCAACGGAAGCGTCCCGGATCAGCGGCACTGGCCGGAGGCCACTACAACACAAAGGAACAAGCCATGGGAGCCGCCCGGGAGCCGCTTCACTTGAACAAATAGGAGGGAATCTGGCCATTACATCCGATGTCCGCAGCCTTCGCCCCTCCCCTGGGACACTTCATTTTTAGAGCTTCGCCCCACGTGAACGTCATCACTCGTACCTCGCTCTTTCCGTTACCTGGGCCGGCACGGAGACAGAAAAAACGACTCAGGAACTGGCCCGAGAGGGCTAATGGCACCCTTCGCTCTTGAGAGCCTTGGCGTGAAGAGCTTGTTACGTCGCCGCTCTCCGTTGGGAGCCCTGGTGTTCAGAGATTTTGACGTTGCCGCTCGCTCTTGGGAGCCTTGGTGTGACGAGCCTTCTACGCCACCTTCGCTCTTGGGAGCCTTGGTGTCAAGAGCTTGTTACGTCCCCGCACGTTGATGGGAGCCATGGTGTTCTTAAGCGTCTCTTGGGCCTCGTCGAAATCTTCTTGGGGCCCTTTTGGAGCCCTTTGGGAGCCCTTGGGGGGCAATGTCGGGCCGTCTTGGGGCCTTTGGGCCGTCTTTGGGCGTCTTGGAGGCCTTTTGCCGTCTTGGAGTTCTTTTGGGGGCCTCTTGGGGCCCTCTTGGGAGCCTCTTTGGACACTCTTGGGGCTCTCCTAAAGCCGTCTTAGGGCCCTCTGGGGCCGTCTTGGGGCCCTTTGGGGCCGTTTTGGGCCCCTCTGAGGCCCTCTTGGGGCCCTCTATGGCCATTTTCGGGGCCTTTCGGGAGCCTCTTGGGCCGTCTTGGGGCCCTCTTGGACAGTTCTCCACCTCGTTGGGAGGTTTCGGGGCCGTCTTGGGACGAGCTCTGGGACATCATGGGAAGTGCTGGGCCCGTCTGGGCCCGAAAAGGCAAGAACCCGAAAAACCTTCAAAAACCATAGGGAAATCAATGTTTATGGGCTCCTGAGGCCCTCTCGAGGGCTCTTTGGAGGGCCTCTGGAACCGTCTCGAAGCTCTCTTGCCGCCTGGAGGCCATCGGAGGCTCTCTTGGGCCTCTTGGGCCGTCTTGGGGCCCTTGACGTACATTGCTCGTACCTCGCTCTTTCCGTCACCTGGGCCGGCACGGAAACAGAAAGAGCGCCTCAGGAACTTGCCCAAAAGGGCTCATGGCACCCGACGCTCTGCGGAGCCTTGGTGTGAAGAGCTTGTCACGTCGCCGCTCGCCGTTGGGAGCCCTGGTATTCAGAGACTTTGACGTTGCCGCTCGCTCTTGGGAGCCTTGGTGTGACGAGCTCTTTACGTCACCGCGCTCTGGGGAACCTTGGTGTCAAGAGCTTGTTGCGTCCCCGCTCGCTGATGGGAGCCATGGTGTTCTTGAGCGTCTCTTGGGCCTCGTCGAAATCTTCTTGGGACCCTTTTGGGGCCCTTTGGGAGCCCTTTTTGGGGCAATGTCGGGCCGTCTTGGGGCCCTGTTGGGCTGTCTTGCGGCGTTGTGGAGGCATTCGCCGTCTTAGGGGTTCTCTTGGGAGCCTCTTGGAGCCCTCTTGGGAGCCTCTTTGGGCCCTCTGGGGCTCTCTTGGGGCCGTCTTGGGGCCCTCTTGGGCCGTCTTGGGGCCCATTTGGGCCGTTCGGGCCTCCTCTGGGGCCGTCTTGGGGCCCTCTTGGACCGTTTTCGGGCTCTTTCGGGGGCCTCCGGGGCCGTCTTGGGACGAGCTCTGGGACCTCATGAGCAATGCTGGGCCCGTCTGGGCCCGAAAAAGCAAGAACTCGAAAAACCTTCAAAACCACAAGGAAATCAATTTTTATGGGCTCCTGAGGCCCTTTCGAAGGCCCTCTGGGGGGTCTCTGGAGCCGTCTCGAGGCTCTCTTGGACCGTCTGGAAGCCATCGGAGGCTCTCTTGGGACCGTCTTTGGGTTGTTTTGGTGCGCTCTTGGGCAGTCTTGGGACCCTTGAGCCGCTTCACTCATAAAAAAATAAGGAAACGGGCCATGGAAGGCGCCCACGAGCCGCTTCACTCGAACAAATACAAGGGAAACGGCCCCCCGGCGGCCATTAACACTCATACGCGCGGCCCTCGCCCCTCCCCTGGACCCCTCCCTAGAGAACTTCGCCCCACCAGAACGTCATCACTCGTACCTTGCTCTTCCCGTTACCTGCTTGGCATGGGGACGCAAAGCGAGTTTATTCCCCACATGTTTCGTGGGGTTATGGTTTTCTTCCCTTCCGCGTCTCACCCGCGTCTCCTCCTTCTCCTTTTCCTTCTCCTCCCTCTCCCCCCTCTCGACACCAGAGGGGGTGCGCAGGGGGTGGTCTCCCTATGCGTGCCAGGGTCGTCCAGGCATAGCAGGCGTGGCATTTTCTCGACACCAGAGGGGGTGCGCAGGGGGTGGTTTCCCTATGCATGCCAGGGTCGTCCAGGCATAGCAGGCGTGGCATTTTCTCGACACCAGAGGGGGTGCGCAGGGGGTGGTTTCCCTATGCGTGCCAGGGTCGTCCAGGCATAGCAGGCGTGGCATTTTCTCGACACCAGAGGAGGTGCGCAGGGGGTGGTCTCCCTATGCGTGCCAGGGTCGTCCAGGCATAGCAGGCGTGGCAGTTTCTCGACACCAGAGGGGGTGCGCAGGGGGTGGTCTCCCTATGCGTGCCAGGGTCGTCCAGGCATAGCTGGCGTGGCATTTTCTCGACACCAGAGGGGGTGCGCAGGGGGTGGTCTCCCTATGCGTGCCAGGGTCGTCCAGGCATTGCAGGCGTGGCATTTTCTC